ACTGCCATCTCGCCCCGAGAGGAGCCAGGACGATGAGCCCCACTGTCCTCCCTGATTCCCAGCACCCCTGTGGAAGGGAAACAACCCCTGTTGCTGAAGGGGGAAACTGAGGCACGGAAGAGGAGCTGCAACATGCTGCCAACCTGCTGCTGTCACCCCTTCGGCTGACGGAGCTGCAGCCTGAGCCTGGTCCCGGTGACACACAGGAAACAGGAGTCACTGGGGCTTCTGATGCAACCCCTGTGCTCTGGATGCAATCCCTGCTGCAACAGAGCCGGAGGCTCCTAAAAGCCATAATCACCAGCTTTTCCTGCTCAGCTGAAGGGTCATGGAGCCTCCAATATGTCCCAGTCTGGTTCCCAGCCAAAATCATAGACCAAGGAGCCTGGCACAAGTCCCCATCTCCCCCTTGGACATGGGAATGACGTGGAGCAGGGCTTCTCCTGGCCCCTGCCAGCGGACCGTGATTGAGGGGAGCCAGTGAGGTCCCGGTTTGCAGGGAGCCGATGGAGATGGGCTGGCAGAGCCATGTGGTGAGGAAGAGGATGGTCAACCTTCACAAACGGCACCCGTATCTTGGGTGGAAAAATGTCTCCTTTGGTCCTGATGGCCCTGAAACCCCGAGGGAGAGTGGCAGTTGTGCTGTGCCACTCCACGTGGGACCGGCCAGGCCCGCACCCATTGAGTACTGCTGCCTGGGTGTTCCCGTGAGGCAAGGGGATCCTGCTGTGGAGTAGCAAGGGTATGGTTTGCCTCACATCCAGGTCTCCATCCCAGCCCCTGGATACCTTCAGGAGGGGGATGCAGGGTGCCAGGGTACCTGGCCCATCACCCTGAGCCCACAGGCACTTCTCCACCTGCTTGGAGAGGTGAGAGCCACAGGATGCCAGCCCTGGGGAGCTGAGCTCCATCCCTGGGGGGACAGGTCACCCCTCATCCCACCCAGTGACAGGTCACCTCCCAGTGGTGTCACACTCAGTGACAGCCCTGCAAGGCAGTCGGACCCGACGGGACCCCATCTCTTTCCAAGCTGTGCAAACAGGGCAAGGGGGGACACACATGAATTTTCACCCGTCCAGCTTTCCTTTCATCCCACCCGGGTGCACGACGGGTACCCGGCCCCTCACTTGGGGCGATGCGTGGGTGCTGCCACTAACTGGGGCAGCCAGGTGTGGAAAGCGGAGTACACGGGGGGTGAGTAAGCAGCAAGTCACTGCCCTCAAGGGCACTGCCAGGGCTCAGCTGCTGACCAGCACTGGGGGCATCGAGGGAGCGGGAAATGCCGTGGGTCGAGGAGAGCAGGGGGACCCCATCCCCTGCCCTCCTCCTCGCACCTCCTCAGCAAGGATGGGATGCAAATAGCTGGGAAACTGCCCAAAGGAAAGAGGCTTTGGCGTGGCGTGGCATGGCGTCAACCCACGGACCTGCCGGCTGCAGGGTCACGCCGAGGCCGGGCGCTCGCGGGCAGGAGCTGCCCAAGCTTGTGCTGCGGGTACCGGGAGGGGGGGAGGGAGCA